GATGTTTTTCACATCCTTAACATATTCTACATTTAATTTACCATTTTTATCTACCATCTCTGCCAAATTCGACACTGCTTGAGGGTGCCGTCACATACAGCCCGCAATCCGTAATCCGCACCGAATGTCCGCAAAAGTTAGTAGGGATTGCGTCCGTAACGTTACGTGTATTTTATCTCCTTATGTCTCATGGAGCCGTAATTCCGTAAAAGTTACCAGTTTTTACTAGTAATGCTTTACATTATTTTTTTATTTAACAAGTTATATTGATTATTTTTAATTTATTTCATAAGAAAACTGCAGAATATATCTTGAGTATAATAAAAACTTTACTTAAACCGTCAAATTTAGTCAAATAGATAAAATTAGAAAAAGCATTACTATTAAAAACTGGTAATTTTTACGGAATTACAGCTCCATGGGACATAAGGAGATAAAATATACGTAACGTTACGGACGCAATCCCTACTACTTTTGCGGACATTCGGTGCGGATTACGGATTGCGGGCTGTATGTGACGGCACCCTGAGAGAGTTGATACGAACCGGTAAAAAAAATCTTTATATCTTTTTTTGTCATTTCCGGAAAATCCAAAAGATCATTACATGTGATATTTTTGAAAAGTAATTTTCGGCGAAACCATCCTTTTTCTTTGGCCTCTTTTAAAAAACGAAAACAATTATCAACAAAAGAGTCCAATCAATCTCGATTTGTTACTTTCGCTGTGGGCCTATTCTGTAACTTGTAACGACAATTCGGTATCGTTATACTGTCGTTGCGCAGGTTTTATACCATGTAAAATATCTGCGCAACGACATCCCTAGTAAAATTGTCGTTAAAGAGTTACAGAATAGGCCTACTGGGTAGTTGAATCTGTTCATGGAGTGCTTAAACAAAAGTATCGTCTTCTGGACCATAAAATTGACAAAAAGTTGATACCAAAAGTTGGAATTTATTTTAGGATTGCATCATTTCTGAACAACACTTTTGGGAAAAGACTACAATCTGATATAGAAATTGCGGATGAAATTGTGCACGACATATTTTTCGTACAACATATAGATGTTTTCTAAGTACAAACCAAATAGTATCGGTGTTTCCGGTGTGACTCATTATGCATGTGAGTGTGCTAATGGCAGACGAACAATTGATTGTTGCTCCCATATTGCCTCAATAATATATTATTTATCTTACGCAATAAGATATTTATCGAAAATTTTTAAACCGGCAGAAATACTCAGCGATATATTTAAGAAAGATAATTCCATTCCTGTCATTGAAAGTGATAGTGACGATGATTAAGAATTAATTAATTCTCTTCTTTTGATGTGAGAGGCGAGGAGACTCACGTTAAAAAAGCATCCCGAAAATATGGATTTTAAAAACGTACTGCAACCTCCTCGTTGTAAACTCCGGGAACTATAAGTTTTATAGGCTAACTGCAGACGGAAATATAATATGTAATATTATATATTATTATATATTATAATGTTCATTGAATCTTTATCTCTATCAATTTACATGACAATTAAACATTGCAACACTGCAACAAGGTTAGTATATAGTTCCATGGCAACAATCGCCATGCGCCGTGGTGCGCCGGAACCGCGACCAGCCAGTCGGTGCGGCATGTTGTTGAGCGAATGATTGATTTTTTTTACCATGTTCCATCACTCCGATCGATTAAAAAAAATGCAATTTCAAGGCTAAATTTGGGGAAGTTTTACATCTCAGAAGTACCAACTAATGATACCAATTTGAGCTCGATTGGTGCGGGGGCAGATTTTACATGCTTATTCCGCTATGCCCATTGTTTATATTTATTTAATAATAAAGGTCAAATGTTTATGAAAATTCAAACGGATGAAATGCGACGCTATTAGTGTGACGTCATGATGTTGCTTTTTGTATTCGCGCCTCTGGTTGCATGACAGTTTCGCAAAGAGTTTCGTCGAATTATCGAAAAAATATCGTGTCAAATATGGCAAATATTCTAAAATCAGGTTTTATTAAAACTGATTCAACAAATTTGTCTAAGGTTGACATATTTATGGTGACTAAATTTATAAAACACAAAGTGACAAGTTCAACGCTACTGAGGTTAGAAATGCAAAAGCCGCAATTTAAGTTTATTTATGTTGCGCCATTGGTTGCGCCCAATTAGAAATATAAATAATAATTATGAAAGATAAATTATGATTGACTCGTATGATTTATTAAAATCAACAGAAAGTGTAAAGCCATTCGAAACGCCAACTCGTGATATTCTTCACAATCTCAGCTTCTCTGAGTTTAAATTATTAATTTAATATTAAATTTTAATATATGTCTTTCAACATATTATTAAGATCTAATATGATGCTATAGGCATCAAAAATTGGTTAAATTGATTCTCAATTTAACTAAGTGATATTACTGTGGTAGTGAATATGCGTCAAGGCTGAAAATCTATCAGCGTCGCGGGGGGGGACTACATACACAGTATATAAAATTCACATTATAAAATAAACATTAACATCCAGTTTTCAAGACTCGAATGGCTTTACACTTTCTGTTGATTTTAATAAATCATACGAGTCAATCATAATTTATCTTTCATATTTATATCGCGCGGCCTGAAAAATGCGCTTTAATAATATTAAGAACAATGTGAAGAATATCACTTCGTCGACTAGCCAACAGAGGTCTATAGTTACTCATGCCATTTCTCGCAAGTGCTTGATTACATGTGTAATTGTTTATATAGAACTTCTTTCTAACATCTTTCCAGGCGTCTAAGGTAGGCTCCCACTACATTACCTTACTGATGAGTCCAGTAGTGGAAGCCGGGACGAAACGCCAACTCGTGATATTCTTCACAATCTCAGCTTCTCTGAGTTTAAATTATTAATTTAATATTAAATTTTAATATATGTCTTTCAACATATTATTAAGATCTAATATGATGCTATAGGCATCAAAAATTGGTTAAATTGATTCTCAATTTAACTAAGTGATATTACTGTGGTAGTGAATATGCGTCAAGGCTGAAAATCTATCAGCGTCGCGGGGGGGGACTACATACACAGTATATAAAATTCACATAATTAAATAAACATTAACATCCAGTTTTAAAGACTCGAATGGCTTTACACTTTCTGTTGATAAATAATAATATTATTTCAGTATTGAATACTTAAGCGGGGAGCACAGACTTTTGCTTAACGCATAAACCATATACATAAAGAATTTGATTGGTCCAATGACTCATGCATAAGAAAATGGGCCAATGAAATTCCTTATGCACATGTTTTATGCGTTATGCAAAAGTGTGTGTTGGGGCTCTTACAACAAAATGATTCTCGCAAAAAAAATTTGATTTGGTTTATTCGGACGTCGTGTAATCGAAACTATCACCTTCTTGTTGCTTCTTCACGTGGGACTGTTAAAAACACTTTACTGAGTGCATTTTTTGCACAAAGGTACAAAATAGCATCGATAACTTTTTAATCCAGTCAACTTGCTCATGTTTATATCTTGTTATGATATATACGGTCCAGATTAAATATCAACCGAACGTACAATACAGCTGAGTGTAATAAGCGGGGAGCACAGACTTTTGCATAACGCATAAACCATATACATAAAGAATTTGATTGGTCCATTGACTCATGCATAAGAAAATGGACCAATGAAATTTCTTATGCACATGCTTTATGCGTTATGCAAAAGTCTGTGCTCCCCGCTTAATACAACTTCGCCATAAGAGACTAAGCCGTAAAGTCGTAAAAAATTGACCAATCATAGTTAAATGCAAGAAAAATAATCTACTGTGATTGGTCAGTTTCTTACGGCTAAGGGCCTCTTAAAGCGAGGTTGTGGACCCAGCCTAAGTATTACTAGAGATCCTCAAGTAAGAGATGCGCGAACTTCGAGCATTCTCAAGAACATGGCGATCTTCGTGTCATATGTGTGTCATACTTGTATGTGCTTGTATGTCAAACTTGTGTGTCATATGGTGTTATACTTGTAAGTATGGAATATAATACGATTGCGCCATTGGTTGCGCCATATTCTTGCGACGTCGCCCAACCAATCCAGTAACGATTTCAGATCGCGCATCTATTACTTACTTGAGGATCTCTAATGGCGAATTTGACAGACTGCACTAGTGCGCACCAGTGCGAACTTTTTTGGTGCCACGTATTCTGAATATGCGCATCGTATCAGTGCGCTTAGATTATCGTATTCGGCAAATGAAAACTAACCTAGTATAGTGCTGAATTTGTATTCGGACCAACCGAAAGAACCGAACGAGTGCAAGAAATATTGCACTGACATTGGTGTTCGGACAAATAAAACTAGTTAGGCAGCAAAAAATTACAAAATGGATAAAGAAAGAATATTATTTATTATAGATAAATTATTAGAAACAAGTAGTAGTAGTAGTGATGATGAAAATATGTTGTTTAATAAAAGAAGAAAGGCCGAAAATTAATTAAAAATAAGAATATTAAATTATTATTATTATTATTATTTTATTATTAATAATTATTATTATTAATTAAAAATTAAATTATTAATTAAATTATTAATTAGTGTAGTTTTGCACTCGCACCGTGTCAGGGTAGCACCCTATCAGGGCAGCACCGTGTCAGGACAGTACCGTGTCAGGGAAGCACCGTGTCAGGGCAGCGCTAGAACCGTGTCAGTGCATATGTATCGAATGTGCCATAAGTATTACGCACTTTCGGCAGCATTCAGCAGTAACATCGTCAATTTCGAGTTCGGGCAATTCCATCGCATTTAAATAATCAGTCGTCCGACTGCATTTTAAAATTGCTATAACTTTATAAATATGGAGTATTATGCAAAAACAAAAAAAAATTATTAATAAATTTGTATATGCTCTATTGATTGAGAATGTTACTAAAATCGATTTAAAGACCGAATTGAAATAATGGATTACTTTATATAAATAAATATGAAGGATTACATTATATAAATAAATATTCTTACAGGATTCATGTACATATTCTTTCCACAACACCGATCCTACAATGACTCTCGTGATTGTATTTGAAAATGGAAAACAAAAGGATAAAGAAACTCATATCACATCGTTTATAATGGACCTCTCTATGCAAATTAGATGCAATAAGGTTTATGAATGCCTTAAATTATCAAAATAAATTATATTTATGAGATGAATAAATAAATTATATATATCAAATTTTGCCAAAGATCTAACTATGCTATAGTAAAAATTTATTAATATATAAATTTATGGTAATTATTTAGATTAGAGGACACCTCACCGATGACCTTGACCTTGACATATGTTGTCAAGGTCATGAATCTGAGTAACTTTGCCTTAACAACTAGGCGGCGGTCTCTTATAGTTTCTGAGATATTTAGACCTAAAAGTCTAATTCCGTATAATGCAATTGTAAGATTGCTAATGTCGCCGGTCATAATTTCTTCAATTTCAATTTGTTTAGTAGCGCTCTCTCTCTTTCCCTCGCGAAATGCGTACATACGCATTCCTTCTCGGTTTTCATTCGCCGAATCGCTTCCGCGTCCCTTTGCCAATATCCGATTGGTTATCCCCACCGACTCGCGCCGATAACCGTCACGCGTAGACAACCGACATTAAGGTTTGTTTTCTGTTCCTGCACTGGGATTGCACTAGAACTGTACTGAACTGAACTAGTGCAAGCTAGAACTGACGGGTGTAATAGTGCAGGCAAGGAATAGAAAACGTACTAGTGTAAGAAAAATGGCGTTTTAGTTCTGGCTTTGCTTTATCCTGAAAAGAAACATATACGAAAAATAGTGTAGTATTTTCCTAGATTTTCGTATACGTTTCTTTTCAAGAATAGACCTCCTGATGCAATCTTCTTTCTTTCTTTCTTGTGGGAATAAAATAATATAATAATAATAAATAATAATAATAATA